TGCCACGAAATCTGTACTTCGAGGTTCACCAAGCGCTGCACCTGCCACGAAATCTGCACATCGAGGGTCACAGAGTGCTGTGCCTGCCACGAAATCTGCACTTCGAGGTTCACCAAGTGCTGCGCCTGCCACGAAATCTGCACTTCGAGGTTCACCAAATGCTGCGCCTGCCACGAAATCTGTACTTCGAGGTTCACCAAGTGCTGTGCCTGCCACGAAATCTGCAAACGAGCCACATGTCCAAAAGTCACGATTCACTGCACCTGTCACGAAATCTGGGCTCCTCAACGATCACCACCATGCCCAATGTACCTGCCACGAAAACTGCATTCGAAGCAAGACAGCTCCGATCCCTTGCGCCTGTCACGAAAAGTCGACTTTGGAGCACCAAAGCACGAGGTTTCCCTTGCGCCTGCCACGAAAAGTCACCACCATGTGCGAAAATGCGCACGGCACCACAACGAGAGCGCAGTCGCTAGAAGCACCCACTGCCGCCACCCAGATTCTGCGAGCCTGCGCAGTCGAAGTGCACATGGACGATGTCGAGAGGCATGAACGTACTGTAAATAGCAGCGAATTAGCCGGTCGCGCCCACGCGCTTCAGCGATCTAAGCATCAGCTTCTTTTCCCCTACCGTAAGAACCCCGTGTGTCCACACTGTTTGGGGAAAAAAAGAACCTGTAAACTATCAGGTGATCAGCTGTGAAAAACTATACCGTAAATAGTTCAGCTATGGTATAGCAGCTATAAATACGGTGCCGTCGTGCCACATGAAGATCATGTATTTGCGCCTTGAGAGGGAAGGGTGGGTCTTGGGACGAGGTCTTAAGAGTATCTGCTGGATTTTGCATCCAATCCAGCTGGTTTCTGGTTTGAGAAGACGGTCTGTCTTCTTTGCCCTCAACCAAATCCGAATAAAACCTAGGCTTGTCTGGTCATCAAGACTGTACGTTTGATTGGTCAAAACGGTGCAGTCTCAATCCCCGCATATCATGTATCGTTCAATCCAGGGTCGGCGAAATCCTGTCAAACAGAACCTAGCGCTTCAGGCTCGACAAAGGTCCAAGACTCCTGAATATCACGTATGCCACACACTGACCGCGGCTTTCGCTTGAAATATCCGCTTGGGCCTATCATTCACTGGATACGGACATGTGCTGGGCATGGTGACCCTAATATTCGTACTCCTCCACATGGGAGGAGTTGCCAAATTAGACTTTGCCACCTTCCACACATCGCTTGTTCAACAAATTTTCAGGTATCCACATCAACCTCCTCCGGCTTGTTCAGCAGAACCCCCAAAAGGTCCACTTCCTTCGCTGGATTCTCTCCAAATGGCCAAAAAGATCGAGCTCGTTGGTCCGGACTCCAGGCGCGAGTCAATGCCTCGGCCGGTCCCGAACCGGAGGGAGGCGTCGAGTCGCGTCGGAGGCGGAGGCGTCGGGTGGGGTTTGGGGTTCGGGGGTTGGCCGGTTGGTCCTGTCTTCCAGGGGAGAAAAGGTCAACACATCGAGTTTGGGTAGGTCAAACTTCCAAATCCGCAGAGGGAAAGTAAACCAAAGACTGGAAGTTCCTCCAATCTTGAAAAGAACATCCCATCCTGGGCTCCTTCCCCATTCTTGCGACAGGATGCTCATCATCGTCTCTCTCAAAACGGCCAACCTGTGGGGTGGTGGATGAGATTTGCAAGAGGCATGGGGCATGGGTGGGGATGGGAGAACAAGGGGCAGAAGGTACCTCCTGCAATGGTACTCCATCACCTCCGATGAACTCAAAGCGTCCACCAGCCATGTTTGCTCGATTCTCATGGCCCTGGCCCATCCGGAATTAGGAAAAGAAGGAACTGGGAAATACTATGTGAACCCTGGGAATTCATCATGGGCCGTGCCTTATAATGGGTTTTAGGTACCCGCCCTCGGCGGAATAGCTTATTCTGGGTGGGTTAGACATCATGTCGTAAAAATATTCTGACACCTCTACACGTACCGGAATATTTAAGCCAACAAAAGTATTCCACAATCAGGTGAACAACATGTTTTGAGATGGCCTGTGCCTTTGCCTATGCCTGAGCTAGGGGACCACGTGCCTATACTCCTGACGTGGCTCAGTTATTGGACCATTGTTCCTTTGATGCACCAAACGAATACGACTCTGGGTTGTTTTTGTTGTTGTGTTATTTTTTGTCAGGGAGCTCTGTGATCATGGTTGCTTTGGTTTGTTGCTTACTTATTGGTGTTGGAATTGAACTTAAATAGACTTTTGGAGGAAATGTAACTCAAGGACATGTAAGACAATGTAAGAGTTACAAAGTTTGGCTTGTGATCATCCTTGGTTTGGTTTGTAGGGCACTCCAGGAGACCCGAGATATTTTACCTTTCAAAGGCCAGCGCAGCAAGGCTAGAAAATATTCCAAGGGCTGGCGACCTCTCAAATATAAATACCCAACGAAAGCTTTCCAACCACATTTGACCTGCAGAAGACCCTTGCTTGCTGCATTTCTCGGGCCAGCATAGCGTAGGCCAGCATTTTTCCAGGAAGATTTGCAGAAGACCCCCGGCTGGGCCAGGATGAGGGGAATGAAAAAGAGCAAACCAGAAAGAAAAGAACCCAATGGCTTTGAACACCCGTTGGCAACAACGACCCCCCCAAAGTTCATGGAAACAACATGGAAAAAACTTAGAATCTGTTCGTGCTGGTCATTGTTTGGGGATGGTGGTGCTCTCCATTTCTTCACGTCTTGTTCTTTTGTTATCTCCTAGTCCGACAGGTTACTTTTCTCTCGTCCAAAAGCCAAACTCGAATCGAGCAAGCAACGTGATCCATTGTGAAAGAATCTCTTGCACTTGGTCTTTCTTTGGAGATGGTGTTGTCCTCCAAATCCTATTGTGTCTTTCATTCTAGAATTGAGCAACGTGATCATCTACTGTGAACATTTGTGCCGCTAAATTGTCCATGTCCCTCCCCTTGTTCCTAGGTAATTATGTGCATATGTTCCTCCTCACGGACTCTCCACTAATTTTTAACCTTCAACCTCTCATATTCAAAATCTAGCAAACAAATATTATCAAGGAAGGTTTGACATCAACATGCTTATCATTCCGATGGGTTGTTGAGTTCAAGGCTTATCGTATGTAGCAAAATCATTCTTAGAGGTGGTTGGCATCAACGTATTATTATTCTACCTCCCCCCATTACATAGTTTTCTTGACCCCCTCTCCAAAATTAATTCCAGTTAAAGTTAGTCCAGCAAATTCTTCCAGCATGTGACCCCACCCACTGGAACTATTTAGTGGACGGCCCATGATTCATCAATCAAATTCCTGAGACAACTCAAACGAACTCAACATAAATACTCAGATTCTCCTGGCAAAGTCCCTTAAAACTGGGTCTGGCTTCCTGTGTTGCGTTGGAGTTTGAACCTATATCCTCACCTTATGGTACCTTCTCCATCACCCCACGGCCCCGTCACGGCCGCTTTGGCCTGGACATCATCTTGAAGAGCCGAAGAACGCGCAAATTGCGCACGAGCCGCAGCAAGGTCCTGAGCAGCCGGAGAAGGGTGCAGGAGTTGGAGCAAAATGGAGCTAGTATCCACAAGGTACAAAGGATAGCAGGATCTTGCAAGTGACTCTGACAGGATTAATTTTGACCTAGCTTTAGATGATGGATGAATTGATCCAACATGCTTGTGTTTGTTTCATCTCTTCTTACAAAAATATTCTTAGCCATTCAGCTTGGGCAAGAGTTCGATGGCACCTAGAGTAGTAGGGGCCATGCTGCCATCTCCTGTCCACCAAACCATCATCTTGCGACGCTCAAACGGTGTGATCGGAGAAAAAGGTTTTTCTATGTTTGTCTAATGTTTTGTGTCTTTGAATGTTTGCTTGGACTTTCACTTTCGACCGAGGGGCAAGACTTCCATGGCGTCATCAAGGCTCAAGTACGAAACCAAATCCACGGATGCCAAAGATGCCTCAGATCAACCGAACCGAACGGAAAGGCTGCCAAATCGACCAAAAAGCGGTGGAGCGGCCTATGGATCAGCGGAATGGCTACGATTGATGGCCGAAGATCTCCGATTGCGTGGGTAAGTTCGGGTCCGTGCACAAATGCGTAGATTTGCTTAAGGAGCCAGAAAAACATACTAATTTACCAGAAGCGGATTTACCTATTGGGGAAGATACAAATCACCGTAAACAAAACCAGGCATGTGGGTTCAACTGGGGAACACATTGAGGATCATTGACGGTTTTGTTGATCATAGGCATATAAGCTCTACCTCAAGGCTGGGTGTGTTGGATCTGGTTGGACTTCTGACCCATATGATAGGAGTTCATTCTGGAAAGGCAGGCTGACTATAGCGGTTCCACACACCACCAAACTTACTACCGCCACTACTAGCAACAACAACTCATACATCATATTCGTACTCGTGCTCCTCCTCCTGCTCCTACGCCCTACGTCTGCGACGACACCTCCAGCTCCAGCTTGCCAGGCCCGGCTCCAAGTTGTTAACACGCTGGCTCGCATAGAAAAACACATATAGGCTACATATGGCTCGCCCTTGCCCTTGCCCCGCAATGAGCGACAAGTACAAGCACTGTATTGTTGTTGCAGTGTCTAGCCATTCTGGACTGGACTAGATAGAATATGAAGCAATGAGCAATCCAAACACCAGAAAGATCGCAGCTTTTGTGGTTTTGTGCTTCTCCAAGGTCACTCTAAAATTAACAATAATTTATGTTTTTTGTCCACCCCGTCTCCAGTTTGTCACCATTGAATTCCTCCGAGCTGCGTCTATCCAAAGCCATCCTTTAGCCTTGGGTGGTGGAGTAAGACAGGAGTATCCTCATGTCTTCTCCAGGATCGTCACTTTGTAGTCATATAAGTCAGAACTAAATGGAACTGTCAATTTGTCAACCGCTCGAAGACTCTTTCCTATTGAAAAACAAACCTATAGATTATTAAACAATGTCAAACATCTATACAGTCTATACATATTTCAGTTTGTACATGTATACATATATATATATGGATCGATACATATACGGGGAAATTATTGACCAACAGTCAACGTTTCCGCATTGGATGCCACAAAAGTAAAATTGTTGGGATCCAGTTCCGGTTGGGTCTCGGAAAATTGTCAGTTTATGAAAAAAAACAAAAAAGGATCGGTCCTCTGATGTGATTTATTCACGTTGTTTTGATGTCGATCTCCTCATTTCGCTCGGAAACTCGGTTTCACTCACTCCAACTTGCTCGGTTTCGGTACCGACGGCTCGTTTCGCCGCGGCGGAGAGCCTGAAAGGACTGAAGGACACGACCATCGGAGTGTTCGGTTTTTGAATACCGACTTTGGGTACCCGTTGGACAACGCTGGGGACATCTGGGAACACTTTTGGACCACATCTGTGCACATCATAAGTCATAGGCGAATTTTTCAGGGCCCACGGGCGAAATTGGTGTAATTACCATTGTCGCCTTGAACCGTTGATGTTTTGGTGTCAGCACCACTACCCTGCGATTTAAGGGATTTTTGTTGACATTAGACTGATGTAATGTATGATGTCTGATGTGAACATGTTTCAGAGCATTAACAACAGTCATGACATTCGGTTTACAGGTGGGAGTGGCGTTGTACAGAAATGAATGATGTTCAGCTGGCTCAGCAAGGTCAACATGTCAGTCATCGTTGTTTCATAAAAATATATATAAATCATATTAGTTTAATTAATTCAATTTGGAATAATTTGGATTAACGCACCTCAAATTCATCTTTATTAACAATGAATGTGGAGCACTTGCATGATCCTGAATTGAACTTATATAACCTTCATCTTCGCCTCACACACTTCAACACTTCATCTTCCTCTTTGTTTTATGCACCGTGAAGGTGAATCCGAAAAGGTGGAATGAGCAGATGTGGGACACATTTTGATGTTTCCTAGAATTTGTATGCCGTTGTTGCGAAAAGGCCGAAAACGAACAAAGTATGGACCCTCTCTACTAGATCTGACCCGTAGATGCCATCCACGAAGTCAGGATCATCATTTCCCCCACCAGTTGCACGAGATACGTTCATGAAGCGCGCCGTTCGCTTACAGGAGCCCCATCAGGACCTCCCATGACCATGGTCCAGTCCTGGGATGTCTTAAATTTGTTTCCCACCTCAGGAGAGGGTTCCTCCTTGCCTCCTCCTTGCCTCAACAACTGCCAGCACCAGATCGCAGTGGGCGGCTGAGGCCCTGCGGTGCCCACTGCGATCAAGCCCTGGCGGTTGAGCTCCGGCGGTGTCCACTATGATCGAGCACTTGCGCTTGAGGTCCGGTTGTGCCCACTGCCATCAGGGGCTTGCTATTGAGGGTCGGTAGTTGAGGTCCGATCGGGCCCTTGCTGCTGAGGCCCGGGAGTGGCCATGCGATGAGGTGCCCACTGGGATCTGGAGCTTGCTGTTGAGGTGCGGAAGTGCCAGCGCTCGATACCAAATGCATGCCGAATAGAACGTCAGAATAAATGCCAGATAGCGTGTCAAAGAGCAAAATGTCAGTTAGAATGCCCGTATATATGCCAAATAGAATGCCAGCGGTATATATTTGCAAGATGGACACGACGCCAAGATGTCAGAACACAGATGATGTGTCAGAGCCCAAACCAGACTTGACGCCAGAACAAGCGTCACAACATTGTGTCCGCCTTTGTGCCCTGCCTTCTTCCAAACCGCCTTTCAGGGCGGGGATCACTCGAAGTAGCGCTTTTTCTTTTGCGGGGTTCTCTTTGACTTTTTTCTCTTCATGGAAATGATCTCGGAAATTCGAAGGACCTCGTTCTGATCCTCTCGGACCTCCGGCAGACGATTCTCTCAGTCAGGTCGCATGCGACCCACGAATGCGCCATGTGAAACTCCCAAAAACGGCGGAACTCGACCGACTTGGTGAGCATGAGCACATGTTATGCGTGGAAAAACAAATTACTTTACTTCGAGTGATCCCCACCATGAAATTTCAATGATTTGTCTTCACGCCATGGTGAGGAGCATGTTGCCATGGTCGTGAGTTTTGTGGTTCTCGATTTTGCTTGTGGGCCCTCGGGTTGTGAGCTGTGGTTGTGTGTTGTGTGTTGTGGCTGTGTGCTGTGTGCTGTGGATGTGTCTTTGTGGTTGTGTTGTAGTTGTGCTTGTGATTGTGTGATTGTGACTGTGGTTGTGGGATGCTGTGGTTGTGTGTTTGTCATTGTGTGTTTGTGGATGTGTTTATGGTTGTGTTTGTGGACGTATTTGTGGTTGTGTGTTGGTTGAGGTCCGGCAGCGCCCAGTGCGCTCGGGAGCTGGCGGTTGAGGTCCGTCGGGGAACACTACCAGCCGAGGTTCGCTGTTGAGGACGAGGATGAGGAGGAGGAGGTCACCGTCAGCTGCATGTGGCATACTGACATAAAAATCTAACAACCCTCACCTGACAGGTGGGGAACCATTTAGGTATCTAAATTTAAAGGTCATTAAGTATTTGTTTAAAACTAGAGTGGATGAACACTGACTTGGCCATTGGGATATGTGATAATATGTGAATGTGGCATCATTGGCCAGTGCCCGCACAATGCCCGTTGCGGGGTCAACGATTGATAGATGCCATAGAATCACCAGCTATAGGTGGCCTGGCAAATAAAGCCAACAGTCCGGTTCAAACAAATAACTGCCGACCCGTCGACCTGTGGGTTTAGCACACATCCAATCCTTAGCAGCCGACCAGCACTCCAAACATCTCTTCTGCGTGCACAACGTGTGTCTCACTTGGCTAGTCTCCTGAACTTGTTCACGATAATGGCTTCACTTGAGGGTCCAACATAGCTTTGCGATTCTTGATGTGTAGGGAGAATAGGTGAGTGAACTAGTAACTGGTCATGGTTTCCCAGCACCCCTAGCGGATTTGGTTGAGTTGCCTGTTCTTGTCCTGCCACGCAGTACGGTTGGGTAGAGAGCGACAGTTTTGTTGACAAGGAGCGTAGTGCAAGGCGATAAACCTCAACCTCATCTCGAAGATCCCCCTCCTGGCATGCTCCGAACAAGACATGGGAACACACACTGATGGGATTACAAAAACATATGATATTAAGGCCTCACAGTTACCCACCATTACAGAAAAGCTTGGGGGGGTACGCTGTTGTTCACTCCAGACATCGGAGTTCGACCGATGTAAATAGCGGTGTTCCAAGCAAACACAACCCAAACACTCCAAAAAAGACTGGGCACATCATGTGCTTGTAAATGCTGTAAATACAACAAAGTTGCTTACATGTCCTTTCTTCTGGCCGCGCCTTGTGTCCAGGAATCCGCGCACGAAGGTCAAAGGGATATCCGCAAACCTGGACGTGATTGGTGCAGCTGTGTTCTGGCCAAGACCATACCACAGGTCTCATTTTCTATATCTGAATCCAATAAAGTCTAATACATCGAATCTCTAACAATTCCATCTCCAACCTCTTTGTCCGGCTCTTCACCTTTGTCAGGCGATCTCATCCATCCTCTCACGTTTCTCACGTCGTTCACCAGCCCGAGCAGCCAAATGAAGCTGCTCACCAGCTCCAAAGAACGGATCACGGGATCTGAGCGCGGGCTGCGCGGGATCTGATCGGGAAGAAGGTGGGTGTCGGGGGTGGGTGGCATACGGTAGATGTCCCTCTTTGAAAAGGGGCAGGTTCCATGGCAGCTTTAGGGGATGCTGATTCAAGGGATGGTCACCACAAGACTTAAGATACTTAAGTGATGGTCTCTTCACTTCTCTTCAATCTGGGGCAACAGATCGAACTGCTGCTCAAAAAAACAAAGAGTCGAGTCCAGTGGAACCCACCCCACACCAGGCTAAACGTTGTAAACTCAAAAACACTTTCCATGTCGAATCTCTGTTTCCATAATCAGAAGCACCTCCACCACGGCCTTGTGATCACGCGGGCGTGTCAGACTCGCTCCTGATGGGAATCCACACCAAATCCCTTAAGACTCCTAGTGGTCCTAGTGTTGATGGAAGCTACATCGAAACGACCAAAGCACCGTCAAGATCGATTGCCATGGTTCTTGTTCCCAGGCCGTACTCTCTTTACTCCAGGTCTCAAAAACTTCTCTCTGTTCTCCACCCTTATCCCCGGAATCTGTCCGCCTCGGCGATCAATGGGAAATGCGGACACCAAAGGGATCATCACCATATCCTGGGAAGGCACGGCAAAGACCACCAAGGAACCATAGGGAACTGCTGGTAGAACTGGTGACCTTCTTGCACAGGGGTCCACGTCAAAAAAAGCCATCCAAAGGCCTAGATAGACCGCGAATGACTGGCCTGGTGGATCCTGGTGGCAAAACTATACCTTAAAAGGTGAAATTCCCCAAGAGCAACCATTCTGTCCTGGTGGGGTGGCGTACGCTTGGACTCGGACGAGTCAAATGTGTCAATCAAAGCCGCCAAAACTATTTATATCGCTGTTCTCTTTGGGATATAGAAGTAGGACGCACGCAAATACTGCAAACATTTGCTCCCAACGGTCATTTTGCAATTTCCAAACGTACATCTGCGTGAGGCTCGACCCAAAAAGGTTCCCCTCGAACAGTTTGACAGGACAAAAACTGAAGAAGACGTAAGACTGTTTCGATCAGTACCTTCTCCAGGTCTCCCAGCTTTCGCACTGCTTTAAAAAAACTGTTCACACTCCAATCCGAAGATTTTAAGCCTAAGTCTTTACAGCGGCAAAAGAGTGAACACGTACAGCTCGTTGCTATCTTTTTGTTTCCTTCTTCCTTCTGAGTCAACATGGAAATTGAATGAACTTGGCAGTTCCGAGTCACGTGGATGATGGCCATGGCACAAAAGACCTCAGTTCAATAAGTGTGCTTCCAAGAGAAGTGCACGCAGCCCAAAGCAAAGGTCGACACATTTCAGTGATCCCAGGGATCCCAATCCCAACAGGGTGGTATAATTTGGAACGTTTGATCAAACGGGTGGACACCCTGATTTGGTGGACATGGTGATTTCATCATGTCGACAGTCGATGAATCACACTCCCCAAGCCTGGAGATGTAAAGGTCCAAAGAAAGCACTAACACAACAAAGGTCGAATGGTCTAAAGAAACATAGACGAAAACAAACAAGCCTGGGCTTGAAACATAGCTTGATGAAGAAAACACAATCATGATCTTGCCAAAAGTCAGTCATCTTCCACTCCGAACGACCCGTCCGACCCACTTCGGAGGCCGGTAGACCACTGTTTTGCCGGGTTCGCCAATGGTTCCAGTGGTTCCAAACACTTCTCGATTCTCGACCGCGAGCGAAACCCATCGAAACCCATCGAAACCCCATGGATACATTGGACCTGAGAGGTCGTTCGCTACATGGTGGATCGGACTCCAGGTTTTGACCCATCCCCATATAGTGGCTGCCTGGGATCTCATCTACTTCAGTGTCCGAGGCAAAAAACAAAGGGTCCATCACATGATCACATGGTTTTCTCTTCCGCTGTGACAGTGATTCAGTTTCTGGAGGAAACATGCTAATCAAATGGTCATCATAGTTTTTTAAATGTTATGATGAACAAATGATGAAAAAGAGGGATTTTGAAGAACTTAAATAATAGTCGATACTACATTTAACATGTGCCGTTCCTTTGTATGTACCAATGAAGTGGCAGTGGTCTCTAATGTTTTTGATCCTCAGGTTAGAAGTTCTTATTGCAAATTGAACACCGTGTTGCTTTTCTAAAATCTCGATTTTTGTTCATGGGAAATATCCATTGGTTTATCTACAATATGTTCATTTTGTCAAACATGTCCTTTTATTTCAGTCAATTGATGAACAAAATGTTCTGACAATCCTCACCTCTATAAAAATATGGTTGTTATGTGTTTTGTCAATCCTATTAACAACATTCCACATATAACCACAAGGTCTGTGCTCCTGATATGCGCCCTGACTCCGTTCAATTGAATTGACTGTTAAACATTCAACATCACTGTACATGACAAATGGGCATTCCAATTTGGTATTGTATTGTTGAAAGTAAATGTATGAAATCCGATCAAGTAAATTGACTTTTCTACCTTCAACGAATTACAGTACAATTGTTGGAGTAATATGTTTGCTCAAACCTTTCTCACTGGTTAATGGGTGACAACAGTACCTACAATACTGTGTCGGTGTTTTTTGATTGTTTGCTTGGGTACTTGCCAATCTACAAAAGGTATCTGTCTTTTTCACCATAAATATTGAATAGATATGCGTGATAAAGTTTAGTTCTGCTATGTTGTTCGTGTTTAAGCTATTTTTTTAATTCAGGAGATCATCAGGTTCATAAATGTTGATTGACATTAAAACCTGCAGGGAAATTGATGCCATCCCAGTTGACAATATCATCATCTAACTTTGTGTAATGGAACATTGCTTCAGGATGGTTTTGATAAATCTTATCATGGACTATAGACTGGACACAATATCTTAAGCACGTGCTGTCTTTGTTCTTGATATTGGCAACACATTTCTTTCAGTTTAACTAACGAATATTGGCAAATAAATGTAGCTACCTGCTCTTGTTGGGTCATATACCATAGTGAATGGTTATCGCCAGAACATTTGAAACTCCAGGCTTGATTTAGTTGCTTCAAGTTTACTCAAGTTGCCAAAGGAACAAGAAGGAAAACCCCCAGTTCCATTTGGTCGACCCTAGCTCAAATCTACGCTATTCCATGCGGGCCGCCTCTTGTGGCTCCCACTTGTAGAATCTAGCCACCATTTTCAAGAAGTAGCGCGGGCGTAGGCCCCATATAGCATATTTAGTAGTATTTGTGGACCTCGCAGCAGCATCAGCATGCACGCTCCAAAGCGTACACGGCCATACACACCTGGCAGCCCCTACAGCGCACCAGCACCCGGGCCCCAAAGTGCACACAGGCACCTCTTCCAAGACTTGAAGTACTAACTCCAAGCTCTCGCTATCTGGGCAAGAGAGAGAGAGAGAGAGCGGTAAATAGCAGGAATGTTGTGGGGTATTGTGAAGTCATGTTGCAAGTCTGTTGGGAATGGACGTGTCAAGTATCGTTCCGGTATTGTTCCAGACGTAGGTTTACCACCCGGTAGAGCACGAAAGGATTTGAGCAACGCCTATTGGCCCCGACATGGCAGCACTTGGCTGGTTGTGCCTCTCTGTAAGCTACAGTTTAAACATGAACGTGCCTTCTGGTACATAAGCCCTATGTACTTGTTGAAGGGAGAGGCATCGTTCCAGGGTATCGTTCCTAGCAAGATAGATGCACATACACCTAACAACTGACTCGGACAAGATCGTACTGCCGTGCGGGCCGCCTCTAAAATCTGCTTCATCAAAAGTTAGGGTAAGTTGCAGAGTTAACACAATTGCGCGTTATTTTTATCATTACACGATTTATTTTACATTGTCTTTAATTGCTTGGTTGAGGTCATCCTCATTGTGAATGTTAAATCTGGTAGAAGGCAATTTGCAGAGAACGTTGCTTTCTTCAAATTCATCCCAAGCTCGCCATGAAGATGCTCTGGTTTGCGGAAGATTGCTTCAGTTCTAATGTTGAATTCATTTTACGGCTTTCTTTCATTAAGTTTTCTAGGATGGACTTTTGATGAACAATCATTGACAGTTCCTGCTCACATTAAAAATGTGTATTCACCAGTTGGAGCTCAATTGGTCTATCTTTTGAAAGCCGTTGCTATCTCTTTAACCTTGAATCTATTCTGAATGGCGTATTTAGTCAATGATTTTTCGACCCAAGGTTTAGTGACAATTTACTTTACTGTGTGTGACTTTGGTATTCCCTTGATTTTTTTGTGGGTGTCAGATTGTGTTTCTGCAATTTGGTAAACTACACTGGTGGTGTTACGATGTATTCTGAAAGATATTATAACAAATGCAAGAATTGTAATGTCTGCTTCACAATGGCAACAACATATTAGAAAAGCATATCATATGAAGGAGCAACCTATGGAAACAAACCTCTAACACCTTAATTCCAACCTACTAATCATTTGATAAATTACCTTAATTTAAGAACACAAAATGAACAATTTATGATGATGCTATTTGATATGCCATTTGCCATTATGCATTAATCTAAGCACCAGATTGATTATATGAATAAAACATATTCACTATTGGATTTTTTAAACTACAAATGAATGATGTTATACAATGTTTTGATGTTGATATGTTAATGATGAAATATGATGAACCATAATAAGGTTATATGTGTTTAATGAAATGTTATCATGTGTCTTTTTGGTTAATGAAATGTTATGATGAAAACTATGTGATATGAACAAATGATATGACATCCTACAATCCCAAGGAGATCCTCTTAGCACAGCTCGGGAAGCCTCTGAAAGATCAAACGAAAAGCCCGGCTAGGGTCAGTTGGTGTTTGCTTGCTTTTCTATTTTAGTTCAGCGCTTTCTGAAACCCATCGTGAACCTACGCAAAAGATTGACTACACAAGGGCTGTCAACCTGAAGAGCCAAACGGAAAATACGTAGCGACGTAAAGTTGCGGGGAATCAAATGCCTCCGCGAATATGTGCCTCACAAGGGGGTCTGATTGGAGTTGAACCTCACGAAAATCACTTTGAGCTAGGATGTGGATGTACGTACATTTCATCGGGATTCGTTCGGGATGCGGGAATGACGGATGCCGTCTCCCTGCGAACACACCCAGCGGGCTTCCCAAATTTCCACACACGACTATCTTTGTCCACAAGCAACTCCACAAGCATCCAACCGCCCTGCCAGAGTCCAAGCCACATCCCACAACAAACACTGCGGGCTGTTTGGCCTGCCGACAAGAAACGTCAGGAACAATACTAATCCCTTGAGCTCCAATTACCTCCTGAGAAGGTGGTTGGGGTGGGTTTAGGGGTCTAACTACATTCTGATCCTTCTGAGGATGTGATTGGAGCCATAGGGAATTTGCCAACCCCAACAATGAGTGAAGCAAAAGGTCCTTGGAAGAGCAAAAAGACAATACATAAAATAACAATAAACATATATATATAACCATCATCGTCATCGTCATCAGTATCGGAGCAGTGTACTTGTTCAATTTGTATGGTCCCACAACATCTTCCTGAGTACGTATCAGCAAGTGTGGCTGGTGAGTACATCTGGCTCGTCAAGTTCGAAATACCTTCCAGTCATGGGGCGCCAGGCATGGTGACTGGAAGCATCGGATTTGAAGGACTCGATGCTAACATGTACCTGGACATACCTGGACCACCCGATTCAGCATTAAAAAAACATATGGCCTATGGCATCCCATGACCTTTTTTTTGCACACACAGGTGGTTTCCAGGTATGTACAGGTCTACTTCCCAATGTCCGTAGTTCTTCTTGACACCATCGATCCGACGATCCGCCCCAAATGACTCGACAACGGCTGACGGATTCAGAAAGCGAGACCAAAGAATTGAACGACAAATAGCTAATTCCTTGAAACAAACACTAACCACTCGACCAAATCAGATGAACGAACCTTCTTCAGTTTAACATCTCCTGTTATATACTAAACAAAGAGCTTTCGCAGCTGAGAGCAAGGAATCGAATGACGCACCATCATGATTCGTGCCAACGAAGCACTTGCTGCATTCTGGTGGGGACTGAGAGTGCTTCATGGAGAAATGGGAGGTCCCCAGTCCCCAGCTCAGGATCAACCGCGAAAGTCTGTATCAAAAGCCTTATCATCCATTGCAATGGCCTCGAACCTAAGAGTGATGGCCTCCAACCTACTAGCGATGGCCTCCAACCTAACAGCGATAGCAAGAAAGCCTTATGATCCAGGCAAGATTTGCAACACGTGTTCACCCAGGTTTTCAACTGCTTGGTATTGGCCTGCCTCGTTGAACCTGTTCACGGGTCCAACACTTTGGTTATGGTTGAATGAATGAATTGAAGACACATTAGATAATGATTACCTGACGACATTTCTTGCTGAATGAATCAACAAAGCTGAACCTCTTACCAATCCAAAGGATAAAGGATTACCAACAGCGGCTGGCCACAAGCATTACGTCCACAACGGCTTGCAGTGGAGCATCAGCAAGTGCTCCATGAGCTGCCCCCCTTTTTCCGGAACAGGCTCGCAATGGGGGGGTCATATGATGCCATAAGCTCAGCGTCGCTTGTGAAATATGTTAGCCGCTAGCCTGCATTCACCTGGTGGATCACCAGGTCCATGTGCAATAGCAAAGAGATGCTCTACGAGCAACATATTTCGCTGTGAGCTTGTGTTCACCGGACCCAGGCTAACTCTGAGAATCCCAGGAAAACCACAGAGAAAAACAAAACAAGCAAAAGCAAAACATAAATCCAAAAAGCAAACATGTAAAATCAAACGCACAAAAAAACACACAAATGAACAAACAACAAAAAATGACATGAAAAAGGGAAAGCAATTGTTCTTCTTGTTTTTGTCGTTGTTTTTTTTCCGCATCATTTTTGCATTTTTGTTCGATAGTTTTTCCGCTTTGTTGACTGCCCGGGACAATCTTTTTGGAATGTGTTTGTTTTTCCCGTTTTGTTTTACTTTTTTGCGTTTAGTGTGCTTTCTTGTTTTCACTGTTTTGTTTGTTTTCTATGTGTTTTTTGGCTTGTTCATTTGTTTTTTTTTGCAGCTTGTTGTTTCGCCTTTTTCGCTTTTTGCTTTTTCATTTGCTTTTTGTTTCGCTGTTTGCTTTTTCATGTGCTTTTTGGGTGCTTTTTTTCTTGTGCTTGTTCATTTGCTTTTTTTTGCTTTTTGGAATTGTTTTTTTGCTTTTGCTTTTTGTAGTTGCTTTCTTTTTTTGCGTTTGTATTATTTTGCAAAACCATCAGAGTTATGCTAAGTGGTTAACACACCTGTGGCCAGGTCAGGTCCATCAATCGTGGGACCCTGGGTGCTGAGATTCGAACCGCAGGGCACGCCACTTCCGGCCCAGCAGGGCGAAGCTCGTAGCTCACAGTTGGATGCGAACAGAGTCTCATTCGGTGTACCAAACGCAGAAATCCGTTCACTGTGGCTGATGAGCTCATGCAACGGTTCCCTTCCACATGTTGACTTCATGACCATTCCAGACACAAAACAAGCAATGAATCGAAACGTTGCTTTCGGAACGGTCAACACCACCCAGCCGGTCTATGGCCTGAAACATGAAAATCCAAGCCTGCGTGGTTATAGCCCCTTGCCCTTGTGCCCACTTCTGGACAAACCTCACAAGGGACACCCCCAACGCGCCGCCCTAAACGCGCGCTTCACCAGAAATTCGTCGAAACAGCGGAACTGGCCTGAATCGCCAGCCCCAAACGCACGCGCGCAGCAACCAATGGCCTCATGACGATCCACTTCCAGCAGCCTTTGCTCTTGACCTCCATCCCAGATCGCCACTCCATGGACCCACGGCGCCTGCGGTGCACCGATCCGAAGATGGCGGATGATGGCGACTCTTCGGAACGCGATGCGGTCGTTCAATACTCATGTTGCGTTCGTCCATTTGCATGGCCAAATTCGTGAGAACATGCATGGAGGCAATTCGCACATACCTCCCCGTTCTCTTCGTATGGGCCGCACGGGAGAGACCCGTGCCGGCTGCTCGGTGCTTGGTGCACGAGGACCCGATTGTCAGCAATGTGCTAGGGATTACTATAGATATTCCCCGTGGGAGCGCGTTGCCACAAAAGGAATTGGTATAACCAGTGTTTCCAAAGGCTTAAACCGTAAAAATATGTAAATTAAAGATCTGTGTAGATCATACAGCCAGAAACCGTTGTTATCCGTTGCTATCCGCAGAAACTGCGATGCACTGGGCGGTCCCTCTCTTACTGCCAACAAAAAGCACCCAGAGACATTTGTTGCTGTCACTCCGTTAGCTGTGTGGTCGATCCCTCTGTTGACCACCTTTCAACAAAATCTTCTATAGTAGCTAGCAAGCAACAATTGGCTGATCTTGTCAACACACAACCACGGCAGTTTTTATACTTGGATCAATGACGACATTATGCTGACATTCCCCTTGGAATTAGGGGGGGCTTGGGCATGTCGACTTTATATAGTGACAAAATGCTGCATATCACATCCAAAAAAGGTTGTATTTTGACCTCTATAGAATAATGGTGACTATGAGAAAGAAATTCATGTTCGTCTCTGTAAAACTATTTCCAAGATCTTGTAACCAAGTCACAACTTCTAGCAATTTCAAGTATTAACTATAGAAACTAGAGAATTGCAGGACACTTTGTAATGTTGACCCTTGATTTATAAACTCCCCCCCCCCTCAACAACCAAGGCCTCCAATATAATATATAAGAAAATCAATCAATTGATAATTAAATAAGGAATCCTTAGCTAGCTTACCTCTGGAGCTACTCTGGCAATATTAAAATAGAAGGAATTAAGAAACCTAACTTTGAAGACATCTGGAATATTAATTACTGTAGAATAAAAGGGAATGAATCAATGGACAAAGAACTAACTTTTTTTTGTTTTTTCAATACTTTTGAATAAGGGATTTTATTAAGAAAGTGCGCACTGACTTTTGGAAACTTTTGGAAAGCTTCACAACTAAAGAGCTTAGGAAAAGTAAATAAGGACTAGAGGGTGAGTAA